CGGGACACTGCAAAAGTCTATTAACGTACATGAAACTGTTAATTTCGCTGATGCAATTTCGGCTCAATTTATTGTGCACCCACAAAACACAATAAAAAAAAGTGAATGGGGCGAGCAAACGAGGAAAACGAGCCGAAATTGAAAAGCCAAAGTACATAACAACAAGCTGGCGGCCGACGCATGGCCCCCAAATGCCAATCCCAGGCGCGAAAATCAATATAAATATGCTCGGCACATGGCCGTGGAGCCACCGCGTCCCCTTTGGCCCCCAAAGCCCCTCCTTATCCCTTACCCCTCTTCCCCTACCCCCACTCCATTGCCCCTTCCCCTCTGGAGAGTGTCTCTTCTGCTCTCGGAACATGACAATTTATGTGCATTTTGTATGCAGGCGGCTAAATAGACAAGGCTAGGCGACGGCCATGCTCGTGTTTGCAGCTGCACTTGAAATAAAATTAAACATTTATTGTTATATATTTTATGTTTTAAAATTTTGTTTACCTAAATGCTAGAAAAAAATATATTAATTATGGCAAATTCTCTACAGCAAACATGAAAACAGTATACATATATTTAAATATAATTTTATTGATATTTTTCTTGCATTATAACATTGAAGAGTATTAAAATCTTAAGTTCGTTTGATTTATATTGCCGCTATACTTTTAAAAATTGTAATACCAACAAATGTAATTCACACAGAATGGGTTCTTCTTTTTAAGTTGAATTATAAATTAATTAAAGATTACTTTATCCCTTTAAACGACAATATAATGTTGTTTTTTTAATAATAAAATAAATAAATTAAATTCTAATATAAAATAAATCTAACTTTTCCAGAAATGTATAAAAATGTATGATCCCTTTTTAAAATAATTTTTTTTTTTAATTTTTTGGTAAATAAATAACCTTAACAATTTTAAGAGCTTGAAAAAAGTTTATATTCGTAAAAAGATGTGTAACGTTGACAAAATTACAGTTAACAATAGAAACTTTTAACAGAACCCTGTTTTTCCCCACCTGTAAACTAATTTCAGAGGTGTTTTTGATAAAAAATACGACCCCGTATTTTTGTTCAGTATATGCGTGCGGCAACTGAACGGAGGCAGCATAATACAATGGCAGAGCCAAGGACGCCGAGGAGCGAGCGAAAATGCAGACAAAAGCAGCGAAAGGCCGCTCACACGTAACGATATAACTTGAAAATGTTGTTAGCTACGAAAATGTGTTGTTGGACTTTTTGGCCGGGGGTAGGCCTAATTTGACTGCTGCCCCCATCCCCCTCCCCGGAAAAGCGCCTTTTCCCTTTTTTCCCGCCCGGCGGAAGTGCACGCACCATTGCTTCGGTATCTGTATCTGTATCTGAGCATGTATTCGTATCTGTATCTGTATGCAGTGCATCTGTGTGCGTGCAATTGCAAATTTATGCACTGCGCTGTAAACAAGGCAAACATTTCCGCCGTCGAGTGTGCGAGTGCGAAATTCGAATGCGTCGCACAATTGTGAATTATTTACAGCACACTTTGGCCGAATGGCGGTGACTTTGACTCGATTCAACCCGAATCGAATCGAATCGAATCGAATGGAATCGTTTCGTGGGACTCGATTCGATGCCATGTGGGTCTGGTCAGCGACAAACCTAATTACAGTAGCAGGCGTCCATCCATTTTGGGGGTCGGAGAGGAGGGGGCCAAAGGACGCAGGACCTGCAACCTGGAACCTGGAACCTGGAGCCTTTGTGGACTCGTTTGGCCGCGCAAATTACTGTCCATTCAGTTAGCTTTTAGAGTCCTTTGCCGCCGAATTCAACAGCCGGGCCACATAACTTTCCTTCTCCCAGCGACAACTGACTTTTCAACTCCAGCTGCTGAAAGTGCCCCTCCTCCTTCTCCTCCCCCTTTTCCTCTCCCCTTTCCTCCTCCCTTTCTCCGTGACACTGTCAAGTGGACGGAATGAAGGGAGGACCCTCCGGAAAAAGGGGGCAAAAACTGCCTGCTGCAAAATATTGTGCAATGCGCTGCCAAATAACAAAACAAAATAAAGTTGACAGAAAATAGTGCTGCCGGCGTGCGAAATAAAAACAGGATATATTAGCCAAAAGAGTAAAAAAAAAGAAAAAAAAATGCCAAAATATAAATATTTAAAAATGTTTTACCTAACTTTATAAAATTTAATAATGGAGATTGGTATTTAATATCTAACAAGAGAGAGAATTTTCCCTAAAAAATTGTAATATTTGTTAAGCAATCAAAATAATACTTCTTTTATTTTCATGTCGTAGCCAATATATATTTATTTAAATATAGACTTAACTCGACTTTGAAGAAACAGATATAATATTGTCGCTTTGAAAAGGGCCTAAAAGAGATTAGTATATCGGCCACGCATTAAAACCTGGTCTTATACACCCCAACGCTCCCTTTTTTGGCGGAGATGAGTATATCGAGTGTAAACAGCAACAACGAAAAACCTTTAACGGCAAATGTCGAATGTTGGGCGTTGGGTGTTGGGTGTTGGTAGTTTGTAGGCGGCAGTGGCTGGTTTGGGCCTGCTTTTCGCCGGGCCCAAATGCGTTTGTCTGTCTCTGTGTCTGCGCCTGTTTTATTTTACTTTTGCATATTTTTTGGCGTGTTTCAACTATACTGCGGCGCTGTCTCTACATTTTTCAAGTTGTCTGCGTTTGACGTGCACGGATGGGCGCTCCACTGCGTCGGCGGTGGCAAAATGAGGTGGCAAAAGGGGGTGGCAAAGGGGGTTGGCAGAGGAGGTGGTAAGGGGGGTGGCAGAGGAGTGGCAGAGCGGCAAGGACGGCGGCGGTTGGCGTAGTTACAGTTTTGCCCATCGACTGGTTTTCCCCGCGCCCTTGGTGCGGTTGTGGTTCGTTGCTTGGTTATCGCCAGCGCCACTACTCACACAACCAAAGACCACTGCTTGCACCACCACCAGTGCAGCGGCAACTGCGGATGCACTCAGAAAAAAATGTCTAATCAGCATTCTTTTTAAAAATATGTCTGTTAGGGCATCTACGCTTTCAAAATGTATTTATTTTTATCAAATTACTTAATTCTCGATTTCATACCTTGGATCAAATATTTAACAAAACTGAACTGTTTTACAATTTTTAAATTAAATTGCTAAATTAATTAAATATTGAACGAATAAACAATATGTATATGGTATTCTATTGTAATTCAATAAATATAAATTTCAGACTTGATACATTTTCGTTTTTAATTCAGTTTAAATTAATTTATTATTGCAGGTTTCTTCATTGGAAAAATTAATTATAATTGTTAATTTTAAACATGTGTGTTTTTATTCAGCACTTATTGAATTGCAAAGAACTAAATTGTAGTTAATAAGAAAACCCTACTTTTTTCGAGTGTATTCCAGCCGTGGCAGCAACTGCGACTTGGGTTCTGTTGGTGAGCCTGTTTTTTAGTGCCTTCCGTAACCATTAAATTTTACGTTTTTATTAGCGCGCGCACACACACACACACACATTTTCACATGCATAAGAGGGAAAGGCCAAGCGCTGCCAGATATGCTGCCCCTCCCACTATCTACTATCCACTACCCACTACCCCACCCACTACCCACCGCCCACCGACCACTGCCACCCACTCCGCCAACAATTTTTGAATATTTCCGTTTTGGCTGGCAGTTTTCGGTTTTCGGCTTGTCGTCTACAAAATGCAGTTTTGCATGCACTTTGGCCTCCGCGCAAAAAGTCAACCGAAAAGAGACAATAATAAGTGCACAGCACAAAGAACGGAACCAAAAAGTGGGAAAAACAGCAAAAAACAGCGAAAAAGGAAAGCCAAGGAACACGGAAAATGGAAAATTGCATTGCGCTCAGAAGTATGCTACGGTTTTTTTTGCCTGCCTTATCAACGTCTCAAATCGGTTAAGGGTGGTGGAAAAGGGGGTAGAAGAGGGAAAATGGGGTAAGGGGGTGTGGGGAAAAGTTAGCCGAGATAGCGAAATGTTGTCGCCCAACAAGGACTTGAATATTTTCGATATTTTCGGGGCCCTGAAGCTGAAAATAAGTAGAATAAAACGCGGTCGAAAAACTTTAAGGATGTTGCAACACAGGTTTCAACGTCAAGTTGCAGTCGTGGGCGGTTTCAATCGAGTTGTGGCAGCAAAATGCGGTTGCATGCTGCAGGAGAAGAAATAACGCTATTCGAGTGATACCCAAATCTGCTCAAACTTCTACAAAAACCCCTACAGAAGCTCAAACCTTTCCGGCAGAACAAGTTCGATCAAGCCTTTTCGAACAACCAACTTGTTTGACATCCACAAGGCTTTTGGTTGCAGGGTAAAAAGCTAAAAAAAACTCTTATACTATTGGTCAATAACAAAGCTATCAGTAAAATATAATATTTAAAAATTAAGTGTAGTTGTGGCCACTTGAAGAAATATGCAAACAATTCAATAATATTTCCACTGCCGTTATGGGATTTACTGTAGCTCTACGGAGAACCCAGAAAAAATAAAAGATAAATAATTAACAATTTTAATACAAACTACTGAAAATCATTATTTATTTGCAGAGCAAAAACCTATTAATATATGACTTTTACTTAATGTTATTGCAGTGAAGTGTATTCATTTAAAGAAGCAAAAAAAACAATGTTTGTTAACGGATTTGTACGTTATTAAAACAAACAAGTAGCGTGTGTTTCTTAAGTTATTTAAATTCAAATAACCAATCAAATATTTTATTTCGAGTTAGGTTTTTATATTATTTTCACTGTTATCTATAAAAATTTTACTCTGGAAAGTTTTGGGCAGATACGTTTCACTTTGTCATTCTTCTCCAGATTGCTTAATTAACCATTTTATCCCCAAGCCTTGCTGAACCTTCCCCTATAGAAAACTATACCTTCCTATAAAGCTCAAAACTGAAAACTCATAAAATAATTTGATTTTATTATACTCTAACGACGCTCTCAACTGAGTAGACCCGCCGGAAGACTCAAATTAGGTTTCAACCTTTCGGAACGCCGCTTCAAAATTAACGGAAACGAAACCCTTAAACTAGTCTGAGCGACCAGCCAGGAGTCCCATTGAGAGCAGGACACACGGGATACGGGACACAGGACACAATGGAGCTCTGGCATAAGTTGCGGGTGCACGTGAACGACTTCTTCTTCGTGAACTACCCGTACATAGCGCTCTACAGCGGAGTGGGCGTGGCAGTGACCGCCTACCTGCACTACCAGTGGCGGATGCACCACTACGACCTGATGACCTGGAAGAGCCTGGCGGAGGCCTTCTCGCAGGACATCGACTGCTTCCAGCTGGCGATCCTGCTGCTGATATTCGCGATCAACGCCGTCTTCGCGTTCATCATCCTGAGTGTCTACCTCCGACCGGTTCTCGACACCGGTGGGGAGATGTCCTTGCTGGAGATCAAGGATCGGTACGCGCGGTTCATCCTGCTGCGCCTGATCGCCCGGCTGGATCGCATCCAGTCGAAGATATCGGCCAAGAGGAAGAGCCTCACGTTCCAGCATTATGCGAGGGCCCACAACCAGATGGCCAAGGCGGTGGCCCTGTTCCGCAAGGATGCCCGCAAGCTGATCCTGCCGAACGAGTCCGAGATCCTGATGCCCATCGAGGACATCTACGGCGTGGCCGAGGACGAGGAGCGCCTCCTGCGGCGATCCGGCTACTACAAGCTGATCATCGACACCACCGACGAGACGGTCAAGTCCTTGTTCAACGCCAAGTGATCAGCCGATCCTGTTCCGATTCAAACTTTGAGTAAACTGCAGGCAGCCACTAATTGCCTTTATCTATCTGCTGCTGCCTCCCCGAAATCCCGGCCTTAAAGCCGTTTTATTGTTTCAATTGTTTGCTTTGCCGGCTTTTTATGGCCGCATTGTGCGCCGGGCCAACAATAACAGGGCAGTTGGAGACTGTCAGCCATCCCCCAATAACAATAATGGCAAAAGAACTGCGAACTGAGAAACAGAAACAGAAACAGACACAGACATTGAAGCAGTTGCAGTTGCAGAGCCAGAAACAAAACTCCGACCAGAAACAGAAACAGAAACTAAAACTAAAATGCCAGCCCATGTCTGCACAGCTCAAAACAATATCTAATGTTGTCTACAGCAAAATATTTTGCAAGCGTCTTTTTGTTTTGCCCGCTTTTTGTGTCCTTCAGGCTTTTGTGTTGCGGCTCGTCTTTAAAATTAGCTGAAAGCTGGTGCAATTTAAGTTGGAGTAGGGAACCGCTGGAAGCCAAAGTATCCTAGCGATGATTATCCTTTCGGATGTTCCTTGGGTTGGAAAATACGAAATTGTGCTGCTTACTTGGAAGACTGAGGAAGACATTAAGCGCCAAATATTCAATTTATAGCAGACAAAATTCGATTGCCTATTTTAACTGTTGTTTCTAAGGCGAAAAGCTTATTAAGAAAAACAAGAAAGGAAGCTAGCTTCGGCAAGCCGAGGCTTATATACATCATATGTATCATGACATCAGTCATCAAATATGTCGATCAGAATGCATTAAGGCTAAACAACATCGAAACTATGAAGATTTTTCTATTCATTTTTCATATTTTCGACTATTAATCATACGAGGTGTGTTTAAAAAGTATCGCGAATTTTGTGTTTTTTTCAAAAATTATTTATTTATTCATGAATATCTATTTTGTCCCCTTCAAAGTAATCCCCATGAGATATTATGTCCGTGTGCAGGCTTACGGACCCGAACAAGCAATGTGGAGAGCACTGCCTCAACGCTCTGATGCCGACGATCCGCCACATTTACCGCCAGCAGAGGAGCAGCACTAGCGATGCAGAGAAACTCAACGAGACCCAGGCGAAACTGGACAGGATTGTCCAAGCTCGCTGGAGGCCAGCGTGGACACTTGGAAGACATCCGTGGACAGGGAGGGAGCAACCCCGAGAAGCTGCTGGAGCAGAAGGAGGCTGCTTCAAAGGTCCTGTAGGCGAATGTGGATCGCATTGTAGGCCAGCCAAGGCCAACAAAAACCTTCAGTACAGCAAGTTCGAGCGGATCGGGGACCGGCTGCTCTGCGTGGGGAACAACAGTCGCCAGAAGTGGAGCCTGGCTGAGGAAGCCTGCCTCCAGATGGGCGGTCACCTAGCCACCATCCAGAACGAGGCGTAGCTCGCTGCCTTGGAGGGTAAGCTGAAGAGGAACACTCCCTACTGGCTGGGCCTTTCTGACCTGGCCAAGCAGGGCCAGTTCGTCTCGGTGGCCACCGGAAGGCCAGCAGGCTTCTTCAAGTGGCGAGCGACACAGCCGAACAACTTCAACAACAACGATCGCTGCGTCAGTTTGTACAACTCAGAAATGTACGACAGCGTTTGCGAGGATGCTGAACATTTCATTTCTGAAGCTTTCTAAATACACTTCCCTGAAATGTTTTATTTTTTTCAAATTTATAATGTGATTTAAATAAATAATCACAAGAGTCTATAATTCTGATACTGTACTAAGTTAATACATGAAAATCTGATTCACTTTTCAGTGCCGAAAATTCTGTGGATTGGCGACTCAGTTTTATTTGATTGAGCCAGAGCTGAAAACAAGCAAATCACTACTGCTAATTTTTAAGTTTTAAATATGGATAAAGTTTGACTAAAAATCATAGCATACGGAAAAAGAGCATGTTGTGAAGGAGTCTTCAACCGCCGAAGGCATCGGCTTTTAAAACAATGTCAGAGGGTTTATCTCAAGAATTACGATGAAACGGCAGGTATTGGTGATAAGGCTTTAGCAATCTGTGGATGTGGGTAGCGGGGTTATCAACTTGACACAGAAATTGTAGAAAGTATGCGCAATTGTCTGTTTTCACTTCCAATGAAGAAAAAACTCTCAATTACTATTTGTTTTTTTTTTAAGTTGAAGGGATTTCGTTGGTTTACATAAAATCTTAACATAACTAGAACGCTTTTTATGTTTATTCCTGGATAATCTTTTTATTATAACCACACAACTTCTTTTAATCAAAAGTCGCCTCGCAAATGAAAAGTTTATAACTCCTGCAGTCGCTGTCGTACATTTTGCCGGTACGGATAAGTACGCAGTTCTGTTTTCCGTTCCAGTTGTCGGGTTGCAAGTATTCCCACTTGAGAAAGGGAGCTGGCTTCCCGGAAGCCACGGACACAAACTCGCCCTCCTTGGCCACGTCATTGATCCCCAGCCAGTAGTCAGCGTATCCAAGCAACTTTTCACCCACGGCTCTCAGTTCGGAGTCGTTCTGGATTGTGATCAGGTGACCGTTTATCCCACGGCAGAACGCTTCAGCTTGCTCCCAATTTCGACAATTTTTGCGTTCGACGTAAATCCATTTCGAGCCAATCCGTTCGTACAGATGCGTATTTATGGGTTCCTTTTTCGCTTTGGATGGTAATTCTTGCATCGCTGACAGTTGTCTTTCAATCGCCTCCAGTTTTGTCTGCAGGTTGTCCAGCTTAGATAGCTGACCCTCCATTCTGTCCAGCTTAGATAGCTGACCCTCCATTCTGTCCAGCTTAGATAGCTGACCCTCCATTCTGTCCAGCTTAGATAGCTGACCCTCCATTCTGTCCAGCTTCGCTTGCGTCTCATTCAGCTTCCTCTGGTGAAAAGCCATGTGATCGATCATCGGTCTTAGCGCCTGCAGGCAGAATGCTCCACATTGGTTGGGCTGGTCGTGCAAAAGACACACCGAAGAGTCATTGGCCAAGGATCCGTAAGAGTTCCATGAAAGGAACAAAACTAACCAGTAAGTGATCGACATCAACATATTAATTCCGAATAACCAGAGAACCCCGCGAATGTTTAAACAGAACTGATTCTGGATCTACTTACCTAAGTCCGATGAGCATTTGGAATAAGACTGATAGGTGTTATCAATAAAAGCTCATCGAAAAAGCCACCATCAGTTCGTAAAAAAAAACAGTGAGAGCTTAAAGCATGAAAACACTCATTGTTTTAATAAAATTTGTTTGTTGGGTCCATGAGCTTTCTCATTAACCATTAACTGTGGTGGTGCCCAAATAAAATAAGCCGCACAAATTTTCGTTTAAATTTACACTTATTTATTTAACTGGCACCAAGGCCTTAAATGTACAAAGTTAATGTTTGTTTAGGGTTGGTTAGGCAGGCAGACCGATTTTTCTGTGCCTTTTTAAAAAGCGAAATTATATAAGCGAAAGGAAGAGGCAGGCGATCAGCGACCGTGCCTTCTGCAAGCGAGTACCCAATACAACAAAAAAGCCAGGCAGCGATAAGCAAAGTGCAAAAAGGAATTACCAATGACAATTAATGACAGTGTTGCCGCGCAGGGCAAATAGAAAGCCAAGGAAGGAAGCTGATTTATATATCTTGCAGTCATCTAATATGTCGAACAAAATAGATAAAGGCTAAGCAACATCGAAGCTATGCGGATCTTTCTATGCAGTTTCTACATTTTGACGATTGCTTAGATTGTGAGATCGATTAGTAATGCCCCCTGGTTCATGAGAACGAGAGATATCGAAAGAGATCTCAAAATCCCTAAGATTGGCGATGTTTGCCGAACACATGCTGAAAGCTACTTCAGACGCCTTGGCTCTCATCCCAACTCCCTGGCGAAAAGGCTAATTAGCAGACCAAGAAGAAGAAGACTTAAAAGGTTCCACCCACATGACCTAAAACATTAGAAAATTCTATGTTCCTAAAATGATGCTTGTCTGATGAAAAAGAACGATGTTATAATTTTATGTAGGTTTATTCTATATAGATTTTTTGATCTTTCCCATGGTAGCTTTTAGATATAGTTGTCCGATTTTATGAAATTGTTTTCTCGATGTAAGGGTAGTAAAAAAACAACGACGTTATAAATTTGTATACCCTTGCAGAGCAAAGGGTATTATAATTTCAGTCAGAAGTTTGCAACGCAGTGAAGGAGTGCCTCAGACCCTATAAAGTATATCTATTCTTGATCAGCATCACGATCTGAATCGAAATCCGTCTGTACGTCTGTCCTTCTGTTCTATGTAAACTGTTTCTGTTTCTATGTAAACTAGTCTCTCAGATTTGAAGACTTTCCCAAAAGGTGTGTAGTTATTGCACGCAGTAAATAAGTCGGAACGAGCCGGATCGGCCGACTATATCGGTTAGCTCCCATACGAGAGAATGAAAAAAAAAATTCTCACTCCGTTGTTTTTGATCGGTCGACTTGATTTCTTCCTTGCTCTGCAAGGGTATAAAAATATATAGCAAAAGAGTTATACAATGTTGGGAACGCAGATATCTTCGGTACGCAAAATTATCTTGTTGTCATTTCCAACAAGTAATTAATTTAAATAATGGTAGCTTATAAATATAATAAACCAACATAAATACGCTTATCTCAGGGTTGCAAATATTTTAAAAACATATTATTTTTCTTTCTTATTAAAGTCTTTTATATTTCAAAAGATTTGATTATTTGTTAAAAGTTAATTGAATGTCATTGGTCGTTTCTTGTTTTTATTTTTTTATAGTCGTTTCGTTTAAAATTTAATTTCGGTTAGCCAAACCTCCTTTCATTTACGATTTATTCTGCATTTGGAACATGTGTGTGCCTCGTATCCTTGCTGAATCCTAAGGACTTCAAAGCATCGCACGGTTCGCTGCGCCACAAAAAGTAGGCAACAAAATTCTTGATAATGAAAAGAAGCGAAAACACGCACTTTTAACTTCATTTTTTGGGGCTAATGCGCGAATGGCCAAAAAGTGACAGCCTAATTTCGGTTAATGTGCCGTGTCCCTTGCTTTTGGCCATAAATACTCGACGCACGTGTGTGCTGGCTCCCCGAAATGTGGCAAACTGCATTACTTCATTCACGATGCGCACTTTTTTCCGCGGTGGCGGTGGCGGTGGACACGCCCACCTCCCGGCGAAAAAGACATTAAGTAGATTATGGTCTGATTGCATATTTGCGGATATCCGCGCCATAAACACGTTCAGACGTGCTGCAACCGCAACAACACGGCGCTCGGCTAAAAACACGGCAGCGCAACAGCCGAAAGCCAGCGCTTGTGGAAAAAATTCTCGTGGCTGTAACAAAACAAAAATCAAAAGGAGAATATACAAAATAAAAGTGAGCAGGAGCATAAAGCGCGGCAAGTGAAGGGGAAAGAAATGCGAACAAAACATGAAAACGTACGCGCATCTAACCGCAGACAAAATGACGCCTCCCCTGCTTATAAACCAACCGCCGCCCTCTTCAGACTCTTACACAGAGAGAAAATAGGGTACAAGCTAAGATGCCTCAGAAATACTAAATGAATCAATATTGGACATAAGTATTTAGAGATAGGAATTAGTTAAAATGACAAAATAATATAGAAATATATTAAACAAAATGAAGTATCCAATATACCAACAACAATTGAAAACAAATTTTAAAATCACTTCACACTTTGATTTAAGAAAGGAAATTATTAAGATTCTTTTCTATTCTTATTTGTTAGGTGTAACAAAATATGTTTACTGATACGACATGGCATTTATATCCATTTTATAATCATTTATGAAGAAAGACAATTATCTAGTAATTCAGTAATCTTACGAATCCGTTGTAAAATTAATTTGTGGTTAAATATTTATTGAGCTGTTGAGTCTTTGTGGTTGATCTATATAAACTTTTTGTTTAAGTTTTCCAAATAGTGCACAAATTTTTACATCCAGTACAAACCCTAAGTTATGGCATTAAAATGGTTAATCGAAACGTGTATCGCTTCGCCTTTCTCGTAACTTCTGCTCTTCGAAACCCTAATCGATATTAGTTGCCCTTCTAGTTTCTCATAAATAATACTAACCCAAAAAAAAAACAACATTTTGTCCCTGTGCATCCATCTGCAACTTGCCTTTGGCCGCGGCTTCTGCTTTTGGCTTGGCGGAAAAGAACAACAAAGGCAACTCGGCGTCTGAGTTTCTGTCTATGGATGCGGCTTTGTGTGTATTTGTGCATGCCGGAAGCAGAGAAAATTTTCCAAAAACACATGTAGCTTCCCCGTGAGTCCGAGTGTGTCTCTGTGTGTGTGAGCCATAAACCCAAATAGCAGCTATTACTTTATCGCCGAGGCAACACCACAAAATGGCTGTCTATTGCAGCTAAATGCTGCCAGCGGATTTGCTTTGCATGTGTGGGTGAGTGGGCTTCGCTGGTGATGGAGGTGGTGGTTGCTATTGTGTTCGTGGAGTGGGGCAAGGTGGGGTGTTAATTCGCTCAGGTGGAAAGCGGCAAACGACCCGCAAGCAATAAACAAATAATCATAAATAATGTTGCCTTTTTAACATCGCCTCTAAATTAGCTATTAATTGCACCGCCGTCACCACTAATGCCCACCCGCATTGTGGGTCAGCCTCCCAATCTCCACCACCCACCCCGCCATCCCCCACCACTCACACTCACACTCACGTGCGGTGGGGCCTTCCAATCACAGCTGGTTCAATTAGGCTTACGCCTTTGTATGCAAATGTTGAGCCATATTAGCATACTGCCGCTCTGAATTTCGCCAAAATATAATACGAACTATGGGTTGGATTGGGATGAAGATTGAAGACAGTTGATGGATAGAGGAGGACCCTCTTTATGGTACAAGCCCTGTTCTCCGTCTTTTATTATGATAAATTATGTTTCAAGCCAATGTATTATCTCATTGAGGAACTCCTTCACCCCTATCAAAAAAATTTGTCTATAGTTAAAAATGCAGTGAAACAAGTCTGAGGTACTTCTAGTGTAAAAAAAATAGAGTTTGAAATACATTTTAACAATAAATTATAGAACAGTACCCGTTCACATCCAGTTCATTTAAAAGCATTAAATCACCTAACAAAATCATATAAAATGATTTACATTTTTGAATATTTACCTAAGCGTCGAAATTGAATAGAAATAGAAGATTCGTATAGTAAAAAGGAAATAATAAACAAACTAAATAAAAACTTTTGCTTGCGCATTTAAATTTTGTTTATGCATTTCGTCAACCGCATTATGGTTATCAAATAAAAATGTTTTTACCTTATTTATCACACACTTGCATAGATTTTATAAACATTTGAAAACTTAGAAAATTTTGGAGTACTGCGTTCCAAGCGAGTAGGCTTTCTTAGACTTTATAATGGTTTTACATACATTGTAAAATATAATAAGTAAATGCGTTTATTAATTTAATACATTTTAAAACAAACATATAATGTTTAAAAGAAATCTTGCTAAACTTAACATTTTACGCTTTTTTCTCCAAGCCAGCTAATCGCGTACTGGAAATTCTTTATTATTAGTTCAAAAAATACATTTAAAATTAACTAGGTGATGAGTTTCTGCTCAAAAGAATAACTTTTAATGGCTTCCCGTGCAATTGGGAAGTATCTTAGTTTCAGAAGAAACCATCAATTATTAAGGCCAGCTGAGCTGTTGGCCTTAAAGCTATGCCACATTCAAGCGATTCGCCCACTGTGCCTTACGAGGGGCACTTTAAATTTGATTTGATATGATTGCCATGCAGAGGATAATTTCACAGCATGAGTTACAGGACGAAGGACTAGAAGGGGGCGGTGGGGAAGCGGGTTTAGCATATGCACACGGACTTCAATCAGCTATGTAAAATCTATGTAAAATATTTATATTGCACTGATGCATCCTGGGGGAGCCCGGGTCGATCTGGCTGCGTGCGTATCCGTAATCAGGAGCACGGCATGGCCCCAAGGATCTCAAGGAGTGGCTGCACGGAATTTGCATAAACATTGCAGATACAAGCCGGTCTGAGATGAGATGCCCTCCCCCTCCTCCTCCTCCTCCTCCTCCTCGCACGCCACTTGTTATGACATTTTGATTATTTATTTAGACAAAAGAGTTGGCCAGCTCCGGTCCGTTTGGTCCGGTTTGCCCGGTCTGTAACTCGTTACGTGGCTCGGGCTTCGGACTTTCCCCAGAAAGGCCAGCGCAAATAGTTTGTTTTGGAAGAAACCCCTGGAATTATTATCAAATAAATAAGTGCTCGAGTAAACAGAACGAGGCAGAACGGCAGGCCCAAGTCGATTCTGAAAACTTTCAAGTGCTGCAATGCTGTTGCAGTTGTTGTTGTTGTTGTTCTTGTTGTTCTTGTTGTTCTTGTTGTTCTTGTTGTTCTTGTTGTTCTTGTTGTTCTTGTTGTTTGGCCACACAAGCTGATAGCCCGTGTGCGTCTTTATGGCAAATCCAGCTGGCTGGCAACTTTGTCTGGAGCTGCCTTTGAGTTGGCCGAAAACCGAATACCGAAAACCGACTTGCCTCAAATGCAGCATAAGTAAATGTTGGCAAATAAATATGCATGCCCGAATGAATGGAGAGATACCCGCCCACCCAAACACTATGTGCTCTGCATTTTTCATAGCTCTCGGTGCGTTCAACGTATTTATTGGGCAGCCCAATTGCGGCCAGCATAAATCACTTAAAATTTGTGCCAAACAAATACGGCAGAAGCCACAGGATGCTGGATTTTCATGTTAAAAGTCAGAGGCAAAAATGCTTAGGCAAGCTAAGCTAGTTTAAATATTTATGCAAATCAACTGCAAGTGAAACATTTTTAAACTTTAATGGCCATAAATGCCTTAAACGGTAAGAGCAGAACGTTTGAAATTAAAGAAAACTAAATAATTGAGGCAATCTAAACGACGAAAAATTGGGCACAACTGCAGACAAATTGTAAGTGATATTGTGTGGAATAAATTAAAAGATACAAAGGATGGGCTTAAATTAAACTACATGAAGTTATTGTCTGAAATAGAGAGATGTATTATGAAGTTAAGTTATACAGAAACAAAACTTGTACATAAGTTTCCATTCATAAAATAACAAGTGAATTAAGAGACAAACAAAATTTAACTTTTGTTAGGTAAGAAGAACTTAAAATGAAATACTGAAGTGATTTGTTAAATTTGTTAAGGGGCATAATACATCTGGCGCTGATATTCATTCCTATTCATGTTTGTAAAATTAAGTGCCTATGAATGTCTTATCAGAAATGGAATTCCGAATAATAAAGTCTAAAGAAAATAAAAACGAACTCAAATGAAGCCAGGCGAGTGTGTGCCCCAATCTGGCGGCAAATCCACAGACAAAAGAGTTTGATTTAAAAAGTAGTTTATGTGTGCAGGAATAAAACGGGGGGATTAAGGCCCCCCGATCCGAGTTTCGGTAGTGAAATTATAGGAGCCTCGAGGCGCATATGCAAAATGAAAACTTTGCTGCTGCCGCAGGCCACTCAGCCAACTGCAGATCCGAGACCAATGTGTCGTATGCGCAACGCAGAACTTGGCCATGCGAAAATGGATGCATCTTGGCAGCAGGCGTAAGTGCCACTAACACACACACACACATACACTTACACCACACACTTACAGATTACAGACACACACACGCAGAGGAAGAGCGAGAGGCAGCAACGCTCAAACAAAACATGATAACAATTAAAACTTTGTACACTTGGCGTATTTACATTATTCATTTTGGTGTTGGATTCTCTTGTCACATTTCCCACCACCTCTCCCCTCCTGCGCTCCTTTTTTACGCTCCTCCTTTTGTTGCAAGCCACATTTATCTGCAAACGTATAGTATCTGCATGTGTCCATGGATTCGCAGCCATCAGTGATGGGAAAGGTATAGGAACTATCCACGAAGAGCCAAGTAATACTTACATGTAAGTCATAAAATGTGGATAAATTTGCGTTCTTAAAATATGCTTTACAAACTACTATCATAACTTGAAGCTCTTTTATGTAACCATAAAAAACCATAAATTCTATACAAAAAATTGTATTATATATGCTGCATATAAAAACTCTCAAAATCAAGTAAAATCATGTAACAAGTGTGCCTCACAATGATAAAAATATTTCCTATCAATTAAGACTTAACTTGAAATGTGAGGTTAGATATAAATTATTAAAAAAAAAGGGGGTTCCCATCACTGTTAGCATGTGTGCATTTGTTAGCCCGTTCTTTTTGGCCACTTGAATGATGCCGAGCCATCAAGAAAGTATGTAACCGAATGCTAAAAAAAAAGAGAGAATAAAAGGAAGGGGAAAACGAGACAGGAACGGCACGTTAAGCACTTAATGACATTTTAAAATAAATGTTAAATTTATGACAAAACGTAATTACCGAGCAGACCGAGCCTTGGACTCCTGGACAACAGCTACAGCTACAGGTTCGCGCCGCATGAAATATGAAACCATAATTACTTTAATTAAGCAAATATTTTGTGCCCGCAATTCTTTTCATTATTTTCGAGGGGCGTGAATGGGTGTGAAGGCGGGCGAGGCATTGATTGAGAGTATTTATTAAATGGCTATTATTGCTCGCAACATCGCGCGGTGCACAGCAATAAATTGATGCATTTTAATTATCGTTTAAAAGGCCGACACTCGTTGTCGACACCCCACCCAAGTCGCCCATTTTCCATTTCGCTGTCACATGCAAATTAAAGGCCTTTCCGCGGCCAGTGAGTGTGGATACCAACTTTTCGATTGCATTGCGATGAAGAACAAAGGTTCATCCACATACAAATATTACTCATCAATCAAATGCTGAGTAAACCCTTTCCGAAATTGGCCTTGAATTCCAGTTGCTTACGATGATCGAATTGCGGAAGTTTCTTCAACTTTTACAGAAGTGTTCAATTCGTTTGTTTATTATTAGATCTCGAAAGCAAAATGTCGAATAATAAAAAGTTATTGGATGCTAAAGCAGCTGATTTGACACCCTTAAAATTGTTGTAAGCCATTGAGAAAAGATGTTTGTTTATTTTGTGTTCAATAACATTCATAAACTAGAAAAGTAGTTCAAATAATATGGTTTCTTTTCCGAGTCTCAACATTTAAAGCCAATTTTAGTTCTTTAAAAACCTGCAAGATCTTTAAAGGTAAATAAACTATTACCTATTGTAAACTAAAAAGATAAAACACAATCACACTTCTTAATGCATTTCTAAAGTAACTCAATAGTTTTTACTGTCAAAATATTGTTTATTGATATAAAAACTTGTTTATTTTCTCTAGCAAGACCTTTCCCAATGATCCACTTGTCAATGCTCGCGAATAAAGAAACCGCAGAGTATTGAGAAAGCACAAGCGCGATTGTTGTTATTCAATACATTTTATTCGTAACTCGATCATATTATATTTCTATGCTATAACAATGAATTCAGTGGCATGTAATTTGTAATTGCTGTCCACCGATGTGTGATTGACTTTGTAAGGAACACAAAGACAGGCACTAAATCAATAAAACAAATATGCATTTATTAACATTCATAGTCATAAGTTCTCGAGCTTCAGATACAGCTGGTCGACACAACGATCACTTACTTTTCAGTTATTTTTATAGGTACCATCTTTATTGTTGCAGTGGTAGATAATTAACAAGATTATTCCGGCGATAAGTACGAACGAATTGACTGCAATTATTAATGGCTTACTGTTCGCGTATGACATCATATTGAATAGAATGTTTGGCCACAAACGATACAGTTATGAAAAGCACGTTGTGTCGTCTCGAGAAAACCAGACCGAATAATCGAGTGCCCAGAAAGCCGAGCCAAGAAAACCTTTTCAGTTTCTCTCGGTATCGAATTCCATGATTTTTCAGCATTACGTACGCTCGTGGAGAGTCTGGTTCAAACCGAACAGCCTCAAAGAGAAAGTATTTACTATAATTTCTCTTAGGTAAAACTGCAGCAAATAAATAAATAAAGTGGTGATCGGTTATTTGGCTCGAAGCCTAAAAATTGCCAAGCTTGCCTTTGGCCAATTAGAAAATGTTTTACTATCGTTTTTATCAACACAGACAATATATATGTATAATCTAACCAAACTATAAAATTAAAGTACATTTATAAGATTGATACAAAATAAACATGGTCTTATGGTTAAAAAAAAAAGAAACATTTCAAAGAACATTTCTCACTTGGAGTTTAAAAGATTTTATTATTTATATATTAGCTGCTAAAATTAATGATTATTAAAGGGCAATCCCCGGATACATAAATATGTGTTCAGCTACTTCAATCGGATTACATTATGTGATAAGCAGGCAGATTTACATATTTATTTCTTTCTTTTCATTTCTTTTTATCTTTCCACATGTAACAAAATTACTTCTTTTTGTTATCTTTGAGATTACTTAATCTGAAAACAATCGTTGAAGTCTAATAGGTTATTTGCCTGGAGTTTGCCATGCTTCGGTTTAAGCGATTCACTGAGTGATAAATAAAACTCTTTACTAACAGTAACTAATTTTTTTCTAGAGTAAAATTTAATTGCATTTTAGTTTAGCTGAGCTCACTTAACTTTAGAATGTTAATGTCCATGGTGTCTTGTATCGTGTATCGGGGACCCCGAACACACTTGAGCTCGATTCGTGCGATAAAATTCGAATTTGGTGGCAAGTGGAAGGGTCTGCTCTGATCGTCCACTCCGGTGATGATATCCTGCATCTGATCGACAACTCTCCTCGGGGCCTGCAACACGAACTTGAGCACAATCTTCTGTCTGGTTTTAGTTCTTGCCTCTGGGAAAATACCATAGGTGAATACGTCCCCCTCACTCTCCCGATGGCCACTGCATTTTGGGATTGTAAGTATAAAACAATTATAAACCTACATATATGTACTAATAAACACAATAATGAAAGCTAGCTTCGGACATGCCGACTCTAAATTACCTTTGCAGTTAAAACTAAAATGTTTAGATACACTTGTGGTAATTACATTTACATAAAACTTCAGCTGTTTTCTGTTTTGTGGAATAATTCTCGAGTAGATATGTTTCAACAAATATTGTTTGTCAAATAAGCTGTTTTAATTTTTCTGGTCACTTTATTATATTTTTATGACTGCTGCATAAATACTGCCTGTAGTTTTAGTGAGAGACTTTTGCGTAGAAGCAGACAAACTAACATGCAAACAAAACGTTTTAAGAATTATTTAAATGTGATAGGAATGAATGGACACATTAAAATGCTCTCTGCAAGGGTTTAACAAAAAAAACACTAAGCTAACTATGTATTTAAAAACCCAAATGCTTACCAATAGTTTTGGTTGAGCCTTTCGAAAAAAAGTAGTTCAGCGATAACGCACATGAGGTAGACTCTTCGCTTTGAGTCAGAAGTGCGTGAGTTTTCCCTGCGCTCTTCGATCATTCCGAAGAAGGTGTCGGGCAGCTCCAACTGCAGTTGCCACTGCAACAGGCACATGCCCATTCCCACGATTCGAAGGTTTTTGAATTGCTGCAGGGGGAAGGATCACCTTTTGGTCACCTAAAAGAACTTGTTACCCACTCGCAGAAGGTTCAACATTGCCATCGTATATTGGAGGCGTTTTTCCTGAAGTTGTAAGGGGTCCTCAACACTGGATGGCTTTTTTGGCGGTCGCAGTCTTAGTCCAAGGAATTTGACTATGAATCTGCTTAACATTTCAGGATTTGGGTGATCATCGAAGTCTATCTGGGGCCACTCGAAGGCCAGCTCCCCATCAAATTGCAGTAAGCTGCTTGCGAGGTCCGTCCTGAAGCCCGTTTCGGTGAAATATGTGAACGATTGCCGCAGCACCTAATAAATAATAAAATTGGAACAAAGAAAACAAATTATTACTCATTGTTAAATCTCTACAAAGCTGAAATATATTTAATAATCGGAACTAAAGGGAAGAAAAGTAAAAAGTTGAAAACAAACTCACCTCCAGCATGATCCTAACACTCCGCTCCTTGGCACTTTCGTTTGGCTTTTCCTGATGGGATTGCTCAATGCACTTGTGATAATGCAATATATACGAATCGTTTTTTTTGTTTCAACTCTTCCGATAATTCACGCAATAATTTATGGTGGACAACGTCCAAGTGAGACATGATCATCTCCAAAATGTTGGGCGGCAGGTCCTCCAAGCGATTTGGCTTCATTTCTTGAGGCTTCGCAAATTTAAAATCCGCAGATTCAGAATGGTTTATATTAAACATTTTAATTTAGAAATATCTGTGTTGGTAAAAAATGAACTATAAAAGTGTATGCTTGTTAAAACAATGACATCGTAGTCATAGCAGGAAAGTATTAAACTGAGTTTTAGTCTCCTGGGTTACTAGATTTAAAAATTACAATTGTAGTACTATTTTATTTAAACAAATTTTACGGACATTCGATTGGATGCGTAATTTTGGATGTTGAAATTAACTGCGAAATGAATGGTGAATTGAAATTCAAAATATAACTTATTGAAAGGGACACTTTACCTTACCTTGGTAAGAAAATTGTGTACAGTTTTACCTAAGCTGGAAAAATGTTTTTTGAACACTTATAAAATACACTAATGGTTTCCTTGTATAATATTAAATATAAGTAGATATAATTGCCGAATTTAATTTTAAATTAATTTTTTTAACTTAACTAGATATATTAATACTACAGCGGGTGCCTAATGCCATTTTACTAATACCACTGTATCTGTTTTAGTAGCAAGAAACTAGTACTATAATTATTATTATTATTAGTACCCCCGGCCAAAAGTGGGAACAGTTTTTAGTGAAGACGCGTTTGCTATTTCTTCTTATGAGTTAGGACACAACTTAGCAAACTTCAGAACCAAGCGATTCGCTTCTAACACGATTTTCATTTTTTAAGAACATAATCAATTCTTGGCCAACTGTATTTAAAATTGGGAACTAACCATATCTGCGTAATATTTAATTATTCTGATCGAAAAACTTTGCCCTTAAAATACACACATGCTGGAAAACCGGAAAAGCGGAGGCACCCACCATAAATTCGTGGTCGATGACAAAGTATACGAGGGATGGGAAAAACATCGATGTATTCAAACAACTTTATAAATCGATGTTTTCATCTCTATTTCACAATCGCGCACCTCGTAATAATAACCCATTTTATTTGCGGAAAATAAAAGAAAATTCCAAACGAGACACGGTGTGCGCGGCGACTTTCGGTTCCATCTGGAGAAGCACAGTATTTCCGGTCCAAAATTGTGACAGTGTGAAGGGCTTTGAGGCGGTGGCCACGCAATCCGGGCGACCGATCGTTGGGTAACCTAGCGAGCAGCGTACAAAAAGCGCCGTAGTCATGGCGTTCCGGCTGTTTGGCACGGCCAAAACGATGGCCGGGATGATGCGGCGCAACTATACGGCGGGCTCGATGCCGGGAAAGGTGAGTTTGCAGCGGAAGTAAAAGGGAATCTTTAGCTAAATATATTTTCTGTCATTCTTGCAGGGACAGCGCTCTTTCCTAGGAGCCACTGGTGCCGGGGTCTACATCATGCCCGCGGAACTCTCGCCCTTGCTGCGATACATAGTCAAACAGATCCAACTGCTGTGCAAAAAGCCGCCAAAGGGCTTCGAAAAGTACTTCGAGGCGGGGGGGCAAGTCGTCTGGCCAACCAAAGGGAACCGCCGGCGACAAGAAGCCCCCTTCGGGATCCGGAAAATCCGCCTCGGAGAAGCCCAGCACATCCGCACCCGCCTCGGCCAAGCCCAGCAGATCCCAGGCTGACTCGAAGTCGGACTGGAACTTCGGCATGTTCAGCAACAGCACGAGGGGACCGGTCGGAAGGACTGGCAACACGCCGGGCGGAAGGCCTTTGGGCGAGGGAGGTGGCGGCGGCGACCGGGAGCGGTGGATCCTCCTCGGCGCCATCGGAGCCGTCCTCCTCGTGGGATCCTTCGCCTTTTTCGAGATGGGTTACAAGGAGATCTCATGGAAGGAGTTCGTCAACAGGTGCGGTCAACGTTAAGATTATCCCTTCTTTTTGTTAGGCATTCAATTTTGTTCCCCTAGTCATAAAATTGAGATAATGAGTAGTTAAAACCCTTTTAGTCATGTCCCCATATTAAATTTACTGCCATAAGACTGACATAACCCAAAAATAACCATGATGTAGCATAAATCATAACTTTGATCATTTTCTTTCTGGAAAAATAATAATTTTATTAGCAAATGCATATTAATGAAGGTTTTAACTATTTATCGTTTCAAAATCAATTCTAACTTGAGACATTTTAATCTCATAAATGTATTTAATTTAATGTTTAGGGCAATGAATGCCTAAAATAGTTTAACAAAGTCAGGCAGTTAGTAAGTCGTACGATTTAATTAAAATAACAACTATTTATATATACACATATTCTATAATCTTCTGTTTTTAGTTTTATAAATATTCGCAGATAGTGATATGTATTTTTATTTTCAAAATTTATCCAAAATTGTAAGTGATTTCATGAGCCACATCAAAACAATGTTTAACACCTTTATTATATGGTCCATAAATTTGTGATTAGTGATGAAACTATTTTTATTAATAAATTAATGATATTCTTTATTTTTCCCGCCAAAACACAGCTACCTGAGCAAGGGCGTGGTGGAGAAGCTGGAGGTGGTGAACAAGAAGTGGGTGCGCGTGCGTCTGCAGCAGAACAGCAACAGCGGCGGCGGCGTCTTGTGGTTCAACATCGGCAGCGTGGACAGCTTCGAGCGGAATCTGGAGACGGCGCAGACGGAGCAGGGAACGGAGTCCATCAACTTTGTGCCCGTGATCTACCGCAACGAAGTGGAGGCTGCCAGTCTGACGGGTCTGCTGCCCACGCTGCTCATCATCGGCTTCCTGGTCTACATGATGCGCAAGTCGGCGGACATGATGGGCGGCCAAGGTCGCAAGGGTGGCGGCCTCTTCGGAGGCGTCATGCAGTCCACCGCCAAGCTAACCAATCCCACCGAGATTGGCGTGGGTTTCAAGTGAGTGAATGGTACTCCCTGTGATTGGGATTCTAAACCCAAAGTACTTTCTTTATAGGGACGTTGCCGGCTGTGAGGAGGCCAAGATCGAGATCATGGAGTTCGTGAACTTCCTGAAGAATCCGCAGCAGTACATCGATCTGGGCGCCAAGATACCAAAGGGAGCCATGCTGACCGGTCCACCCGGAACGGGTAAAACGCTTTTAGCCAAAGCTACCGCTGGAGAGGCGAATGTGCCTTTTATCACCGTGTCCGGATCGGAGTTCCTCGAGATGTTCGTGGGCGTGGGTCCTTCGCGCGTGCGCGACATGTTCGCGATGGCCCGCAAACACGCCCCCTGCATCCTCTTCATCGACGAGATCGACGCCGTGGGTCGCAAGCGAGGCGGCAAGACCTTCGGCGGCCATTCGGAGCAGGAGAACACCCTGAACCAGCTGCTGGTGGAGATGGATGGCTTTAATACGACCACGAATGTGGTGGTGCTGGCCGCCACCAACCGCGTGGATATTCTCGACAAGGCGCTCATGCGACCGGGTCGCTTCGACCGGCAGATCTATGTCCCGGCGCCCGATATCAAGGGCAGGGCGAGCATCTTCAAGGTGCATCTGGGCAACCTAAAGACGGCGCTGGACAAAAACGACCTGAGCAGGAAGATGGCGGCGCTTACGCCGGGCTTCACCGGCGCCGACATCGCCAACGTGTGCAACGAAGCCGCTTTGATCGCCGCCCGCGACTCCAAGGACTCGATCGTGCTCAAGCACTTCGAGCAGGCCATCGAGCGCGTGATTGCTGGAATGGAGAAGAAGACGAATGTCCTGGCGCCGGAGGAGAAGCGAACGGTGGCGCACCACGAGGCTGGGCACGCGGTGGCCGGCTGGTTCCTCGAGCACGCCGATCCCCTGCTCAAGGTCTCGATCATCCCGCGCGGCAAGGGCTTGGGCTACGCCCAGTACCTGCCGAAGGACCACTACCTGCTGTCCAAGGAGCAGCTGTTCGATCGCATGTGCATGACCCTCGGCGGCCGAGTGGCCGAGGAGCTGTTCTTCAACCGGATCACCACGGGTGCCCAGGACGATCTGAAGAAGATCACCGACATCGCCTACTCGCAGGTGGTGCGCTTCGGCATGAACGAGAAGGTCGGACAGGTCAGCTTCGATGTGGGCCAGGCCGGCGATCCCGTGTTCAGCAAGCCCTACTCCGAGGACACCGCCCAGCTGATCGACGGCGAGGTGCGCTCGATCATCAAGTGCGCCCACGAGGCGACCACCAGTCTGCTGACCAAGCACAAGGCGGACGTGCAGAAGGTGGCTGAGCGCCTGCTGCAGAACGAGGTGCTCAGTCGCGACGACATGATCGAGCTGCTGGGCCCGCGTCCCTTCAAGGAGAAGTCCACCTACGAGGAGTTCGTCGAGGGCACCGGCTCCTTCGAGGAGGACACCACCCTGCCCGAGGGCCTCAAGAGCTGGAACAAGGAGAAGGAGCGAGCGGAGCCCCTGGACGCCGGCAGCACGCCCTCCTCGCCGCCCACCAAGCCCGTGACTGCCCAGAGCAGCTAGGCCTTCGCCTTCGATTGCTCGGTGGATGGGAATGGGGAGTGGTGGTTTTGGAGAGGCCCCTCTTTGTTTTCGTTGTAATCCCCCATCGCGGACCGGAGAAAAGCCCTGACCCACGTGGCACATTGCGAGGGCTCAAGGAGTTCCTGGACCTTCTGGAGTTCCACTTCTCCACGACGCGTTCATCATTGTTTTTGCATATTTTTAAGAGAATCCCATGGATACTTCGTTCGAGTGTTGTAGCCTGTACTAAATTTTCCGTACGCCGTATTTTCAGATTGCAATAAAAACCTGTCAGTATGGGAAAACGAAATTAAACGATGCTTTCAAGTCGAAAAAATAATTGAGAAAGTCATTATTATGGTGAATAGTGGGTCCATTAGCAGGGGTTTGAGTTTCTCGAAATCGGAACAGCTGTTATAAGGTTGCAGAAGTTAAGGTTTTAATGGAATATACTTATAAAATTTCTGATATTGTGCGAACAAATTATATTAAAGTCAAATAATCATTTAACGAGAGTTCTAGTCCAAATTGATCCTTTCGCCTATATTACTTTTTGTAATATTGTATTATCAACAGAAGTGTTAAACTAAGCTTAAGCTTTTTACACTAAATAAAACGTTGAAATTAACAGAAAGTTTTGAGTTTTTTTTATATTTTCGACAAAAGAAAGTATACGTATTGCAATTTGATTGTTATTCATCATGACAATAAATTATATTCGCCTTATTTTTTCCTAACTATGTATCCACAAGTTTGTATGAGGATTATCGTAAACTTGTGTTGATTAACTCAGATTTATTTATTTAAATATTTAGGTCTAGTCACCTAAAATGTTAAGTGTTTGTATACAATGTATTAATATAATCGAAACCAATAAAAATTAAATATTTACCAAAAGTTGCTTATTCTTAATTACCGGGTTTTTTTAAATGTTTTGTATTAAACGTTACTTAATCCGACTTTTGGCAATAGTGGTCTTAGGAATGCATACATATGTTGGCTTCAGCGATAACCTCTTTAAATGCACTTTGATAGATAAGGTCAACAAGATAGATTTTGAATTCGATAACTCTCAAAAAGAGTGCAAGAAGACTTTTACTTAGGCCACGTAAAATTAACGATAGCGTTTAATGACGTTCCCTTTGGTCTTGATCCTAAAATTCAATTGATACCGAGAAGTGATCCTAGCTATAAGACTAGAGTCTAACAACGCTTAGGGTGTTGCTAGGAAATTGGTTACAATGACTTTTTTTTTTTTTTTGAACGCATCTTTAAAACTATGATTTTCCTTTTGCGTTTGGTCTTAAAAGTGCTGCCCATCTTCTTTCTTTGAGCGAATGCTTCTTTAACGATTTCTATTAATAATTTGTTAATTTGAGTAAGTAATCCCTGACCTCAGTTTGGTTTTTGCAGTATGCGTAATGCTTACAAGAAGGTCCATCACATTCTAAAATCCTTTGCGATGAAAAAGTATAACATAGGATTATTATTTAAAATTTTTTTTATTATTTCTCGATTTAATTTTTTTTGCCCGGTTAAAAAAAGGGTAGGTGCAACAAATCAAAGAATTAAAGGTAATTCTTTCGTTTTTTAAAAAAGAATAATAATTTTTTGTAAAGGAATAAATATTACGTATACGCCACCAATAAACATCCGCAAAGCAGCTGTTCGTATGAGTAATATCGCTTAATGTTTCGGAACTGAACTCTTCTGCAAGTAAAATGCTCTAACGACCAAGTAGTTACAGTTAAATTTGAAAATCGCCAATAGAGCCATTTAAAGATTTTATTGTTTCTACAAATTTGCTTGTATGCAACATACAAGGCTTAAAAATACATTTTTATTCAACATTTTTTTTGACATCAAAATGTGAAGCACTTTCCCCCTCTTTTTCAGTGTAAGCTTTCGAAGCTGCCTAGCACTTAAGAGAACGACGCTCTCTTTGTTGAGCTTTCTCCGCGTACTTTCTTCGGCTCTCTTTGGCTCTCTTGCCAATACTCGCTCTTCGCTGCGGCTTATCACTTATCAGCTGTGCGATGCTTGAAGTACATGCGCCATGTGCAGCCGGTAAATAGTGCAACTGCCTCTGCCGCCGCCTCTGCCGGCGCAAAGCTCCGTTGGGGCAGCAGGAGCAACAACAAGAACGGGCACAAAAACAAAAACAACCGTGGGGCAGAGAGTGCAGCAGTGCAGTCGACGTCGCTGCCGCCGGTCGTTTGGGGCCGTCAGTTGGGTTTTGGGGTCTCGCCGCTCAGTGTCGTCTTGTTGGTTGTCGCGTTCGTGTGCGCGCACTGAGAGAAAACGGAACGCCACGGTTGCACTTTCGTTTGCAATTTCAATATTCCTCGAGTCGAGTCCCCCGAGTTCTGAGATTTCCCCCTTCTGTTGTGAAGTGCGTGCGTTCTGAGCCCAAAACATCTACCAAAACGCGTACAAGAAATCACAAGATACAACCAATTATTGGGGGAGGAGGAAAAACGCCTGCTGTGGAGGGCATTTGCATTTTGTTTACCTCGATGGCTGTGTGGAGTGCAATTTGACGATTATATAATATAAAACAAAAAATCAAATAGGCAAAACAAATAAAAGTGCGCGGCATTTGATTTTAATTGCAAGCAACTACAAAATAACCACTGAGGAAGAAGAGTTAATGCGCAACCCTCTCTTTCGCACCGCCACCCCCTCCCTCTTCCAACCCTCTCTCTATCTCTTTCTCCATGGCTTGTGTTGATCTTTCCTGCAAAATGGCTGCCGGCCGGCAAATAATGGCAATTTAGATATTTGATCGATTTAGAAAGATTGACAGATTCATCGTTACAAATATGGGGAGACATTTACAATTAATTTTTCTTTTTGATCACATTTAAATGTGTCTGTTCTCGGTTTCTTAACACATTAAAATCATGTTGATTTTAGCCAAACCAAATAGGTTTTCTACAATTAAAAATATTTATTTTTAACAATTTTTACAACATAACAAACTATAATATTAATTAAGTATTCAAATAAATCTATGAATAATTTGCAGTATGGAAATAAGAAATTACTTTTCATATTTTTTTAAGAATTGTTTATTACCGCGCAAAAGCACAAAAGGGATAGTTATGAACCCTTACAACAAAAAATCTTTTTATTTTGTAGAAAAATTGTTTCACTTCCTTTAATTATTTTGCAACCCTTTGTTTTAGCCTTTTTTTTTGATCAGTCAAACAAGATGGCTGTTGTCAGGCAAAATAACGGGTACATTGATTACTGATCGATAGATCCCTCACCCCCCAACCTGCGATCACTGGCCACACATGTGTTATTTTAGTTCTGTTTTAGTTTTTCGCTTATTTTGTTTTTATTTTGTGCTGCCAATTGTCGCAATTGTCGGGTCACGTGTTTGTTGCTGCCGCCAGTTAACTTCTGCTCTCGTTGTAACGGTGCATGTTCCCAGTATTTGTGTGTGAGTGTGTGGGTGTACGAGTATGTGTGTGTGAGTGTCTGTTTGTGAAAGCTTGCATGCTGCGCGTTATTATATTGTTGTTGTTTTTGTTTTTGTTTTTGTTGAGGGAGTCACTGCATGCTATGTTCTTTTCTCCCCGTCTCTTCCCATCTCTCTCTATCATTTGTTTTTGTTTTTATTTTTGTTGTGGGTGTGGGAAAGATCAAGGCGCGTAATAAACACAGAAAATGCAAAAAAAATGAATTCAAAATATAGGAAAAACGATAAAAAAGAGTGGGAAAAATAAACGGCGAGTAATGGCATTTACAACAAAAGCTATAAAAATTAGATGCCTGCATTTTTTCGTTAAACGAAAAAAGGTTGTCGAATTTCCAGCTGGTTCTTACTTAAATCAAGAAAAAGTTAGGGACCAAAAAAAAGTCCATTTGATTATAAATTAATCGAACCTAACTTTAGTTTGCACATTATATACCAATTTTAATTATAACGCTGAACAAATTTATTCTAAAAAGAATCATTTTTGTTGTTCAAGAATTGAAAACAGCTTTCCTTAGTCGCCCGTTTTGTCAAAGGTTTTTGATGCTTTTCTCATTCTAGGAGATTAATTTGATGGCTGGTGCCATATAAAGTGAGGCGAATTCATTTCAAACAAAGATCTTTTGCACTCGCAGTACCGCATCCCAATTGTCACTCAGCCGTCACTTTGCCCACCCCCTTTTTCCGCCCGTTCCTCACCTGGCTTTTCCACTGTTTTTTCATTCTCTCGGTTGCACTTTTTTGCATTTTACGATTGTTCGTTGCGAATCATTGCATTTTACGGGGGGCCGGCGGTGGTACAGTAGCTGTGGGTGGGTGGAAAGGAGAGGGGGTGGGAGTGGTGGGGGAAATTGCCTTTTCAAAAGTTTCCCCGGGAAAAGTTTAAAATTGCAATTTAATTAATTTTCACGCAACACAACCGAAAACAAAACACAACCAAACAGATCTTTTTCAGTAATATGTTGCCTTTAAATCAATTGGGAAACCAACAACCGAAGTTAACGCAACGTTTCTAAAACTTAAAGTCTATATACCAAATTAACCAATTACAAATACAAAATACACAATAAAATTGAAACCAAACCAAAAGTGGCCTGCAAAGCGAAGCAACTAAAACAACCAAGAAATGTGATTCACAGTGTGCAATGTAACCAAATTATTAGTAAAAAGCAAAACAAAAACCAGAAAAATCAGCGGGAGAAGCACAGCCAGGCCAAATGGAAATCAAGGAATCCGGAAGCCAATTGAACAGCCAACTAGCAGCCAACGTGGCCAATGATTAAGGGAACACTCTGTTAGCCAATTCGTAGTAGCAGCATCCCCCGTCCATACATCACACCCCAAAAAAAAACACAGCCACACAGAACCACTCGACCTCCCCTCGCAAAGCTCCATGCACGCAGGAAGGGCGTTGGAGCAACAATTATAGAATAGACAGCCAGACAACCGCATCGCTCAGCTCCAAACGGCAAGCTCCAAGCTCCCAACTCCAGCTCCAAGTCAATCTCAATCCCGAGCGAAAACCCCCAACATGGACATCAAGATTGAGCAGCAGCAGCAGCAACAGCAGCAAGTGGAGCTGGGACCCTGTTCCCCCTCGGAGGTGCCCAATGATCCCGGGTAAGCGTGTTGGCTGGCACTTGTATTTTACACCCGAAACACCCATATAAACAGGTACTCTGTACTGGAAAAGGGCAAAACAACTTCTTAGCCAATTGAATCCACTTTAAGGTACCCAATTGATTTTTAAAACAATTAAACTCAAATAAATAACTATTTGAAGTAAATATAAACGAGTTACTTAAAGTTTTTGATCTCTTGAAATCAAAAGCAGTACGTAATTTAAGGATATGCAAATCGAAATTCTTTTTTTTTTTAACTTATGAAAAAGACAGGGTCGAGTTGATATTCAGAGGCTTAAATTATAAATGCCTTAAATATTTTTAACCATTTACCTCTAAACAATTTAACGTTCACTGATTGAAAAAATTTGATTAAAGGTAAAGTAAAAAATATTTTCTGATATAGGAATTGTGACATAGTTAAAAACTTAAAAATATTTCTTGAATGAAAAGGTTACATTAATATTGAAAGAATTGGAATTAAAATTTTTTCATTTTCTTTATAAAATTCTTAAAAATATAGTGATCTATATAGCGGAAGAAATATTTATTCTCTTTAAAATAAAAATAAAGCAGATGTTACATTACAACTCCACGAGATTTTCAAATGTTTTCCTGCAGAAGGGCATACAAACTTCCAAGTGGCAAAGTGAGCGGCAACTTTTTTATTTAGTTTGGGGTCGTGGACGTGGCATTAATTGTTTAAGTTTTAAGTTTGTCATTATTGAAGCGCAGGGCGGCGGAAGAGAATGGAGCGTGGCTTGGGAGCGGTGTCAAGGCAGTTAGAGTTGTTGACAGAAAGTTTTCTATGTCAACTAGGGCCGGAACTGGTCGAAACTGGCCAGAAATGGACGCAGGCCCAGCTGGGAATCCAAGTCTGCGAAACTAATTAGAAAACAATTTGCCAAGGACATCAAAATTCAATTAAAGCCATTCGGCTTAGTGCTTTAGTGCAATGCAGTCACTGTTCCCGGGTTAGCTTTCATCCTTCCGGCTACAGTTTATTATCAGCCCGATTCCCCCCCCTCATCCAACATTTATATTTGTGCCGAAATGGGTTAAGTTGTGATTGCGGTGTCATATGCAGCAGATTAATTGCGAGCTGCATTGCTGATAATTTGCATCGGTTTGCAAGTTGCAGTTGGATTTTGGGCGAACGGGGTGTCGTCGGTTGCTGTCAGAAAGTCAGACTAACAAATGAATGATCCAGTGATTGGCAGCCGAGTGGACTGATTGAGAGTACGGGTGAAACGGACTTTTGACGCAGCCCATAAAGTGAACACATTATAGCAAGCCACTGGTTTGTTAGAACAGTGAAAAAAAAATTATTTTTTGTGCGATTAAACTTTAAAAAAAACATGTAATAACATGTAAGCACAATGTTAAATTTCTAAACAAAAATCGGTGAGGTTAAAATATCAACAATGTAATGAAATAATTGGTCAAAATGTAGTTTCATTTCAATAAATCAATTTGCGTTTTAAATGGAATTCAACTGCATTCTTTGTAATGCAAAAACCGAATGACTATGATAAGCAATTTAACTATGATAAGCAATTAATTATACTAACAATATGGTTGAAATCCTTATGTAACGTTGTTGAAAATATAAAATATGTAAACATAACATAAAGGTTATTTCTTATTATGAAAAATGTACGCTCTGCCTGAAGTAAAATTTTATGACGGTCGTCTAGAAGGGACTACGACTGTTTTAAACCAAATTAGACCATCTAAGCCCTTTTTCATTAGAGTTACCAGAGAGAAAAGCCGAAAGAGATCTGGGGGAAAGACAGGCCAAAAGTACAGCCATATGGCCCGGACAGCCGTCGCAATCCATTGAACACGCAATGCCCATAAATTATGCAGTTCATGCATATACATCCACATAGATGTACGGTTATAAATATATCTATTATCGAAATGCTGCAAATTGTATAACCCAAGTGAATTTCAGCGCTCCACGAAGGGGGCGCGGATGCTGATTGCAGCTCATCTTGTCTATTTGCATTAGTTTGCCAAACTCGCGGCAACACACAGCAGGCAAAAATAGGCTGGGCCGACCCGCTTCTCCCTCCAAATCCCTTGCCATATTTCCCGAGGCGGGAAAGCGGAGGCCACCGGATAAAAGAAATGGATCACCTGCTGCTCGCTGAGCTCCGACGATGCTGGCAGGTGCAACAACTGCAACTGCAACACCAGCCACTGTGCAACTGTTGCAACTGCAGTCAGTGATGAAGAATGGTTGTACCTAAGGTACCAGAGTTTTAACTCTACTAGGAATACAGTAGTCAATATCTGAAAATGTTCATATAATATGTTTTTTTCTCCAAAGATGTGTTCATAATTTTATGGTTTTTTTAACTAGTGACTAAGATCGCCTTTCAATTATTTTAATGACATTTAATCACTTGTATCTCTATGCTTACAACATGGAATCATTTTTGATCAATTTTGAAAACCTATTCAGTTCATGTTTTATTTTAATATTCTTTGAACTTCTAAAACTTCTGTAATCTTTTTACTGTACTAATTCTTACTTTGCACTCCTGTAAGATTTTGTAACATATATTTTGTATGCACCTTTGTAACTTGGAAGGTAAATCTAATACCTTTCCCATCACTGACTGCAAGATGAAGTTGGGTAAAAGTTTTGTGGCGATGCGAATGGGAAATGTGGCACCTAGCGAATGTTGAATGCATAAATCTTGAATTAATTCAAAATACCTTTTGATGACGCTGCCCAGATACACAGATACAAATGCATCCGCATCTCTGCACTTGTATCTGAGTCTCTGTATCTTTCTCTATTTTCGTTGTGCAACTTGGCGAATATCGTTGAAAACATGCGAATACAATTCCATTCACAGTTTCGTTGACTGGCGCGGCGATCGCCACGGCTCAGTAATTTTGAACGCTCCCACCCCCCGCTCACGCCCCTCCCCCCACTCCGCCCCCACTCTTTTGGCAAACTTTATAAATCTTTTGAAGGGCCAACCGAAAATTAAAGAAGAAGACCGGTCTGCTCGGCGCAAAATGGCAAAGTAAATAAACACAAAGGCGAAAGAAAATGAAAATAAAACAAGGCAAACCAAAAAACAACACACAAAACTTTGAAATAACTAAATAAATGCCCTGCTATTAATACAATTCACTTTGCCAATGTATTTTTAGTGCAAATGCAGCAAACATCAAGTGAGAGCGATCGTTTTGCGGATGATCGATCAGGGTGCTACCTTGTGTAGATAACTTTTCTAAATTGCTTAACAATAGAAGGCTATTTAGCATAAATCATCATCGATTAGCAGAGCAATATTTTAATAACTCTAATTTACTTTCTAAACAGTGGCTTTTTTTGCATCCTCAAATAAATCATGAAATCAGCAAGCACACAACTGAGTGAGATATGATGTGATATGTTAGATATTATTATTTGGCAACATAAAAAGCTATATAAATTATATTAATAACGTTTTAAGTTCACAATGTTAATGTGATTTTCCCAAATAATTTACAGAAAAATTTTTATCATTTAAATTTTAATAATTTTTAAAAGGCATTTAATTTTATATAAAGATGTTAAATTAGCATAAAAATGGTTGCATTACGTGTAAATTTCTATTAACCTTTTTGCGTGAAGATAGAACTTGATGTCGATGTAGCAAATTATACATTAGACCTTCCTTTCACTCTTGTCACGTTGCTGCATTGTTGAATCCTCTTGGGGAATCAACAAGTGCGGCTGAGCGATTCCCACACCTCGGAGTCGCTAATCCCGCCGCTGCTACCCTTTCGATCCGTCCAAGAATGCCTCTCATCGGCATGCGAGTCCGACAATTATCCATTAGAGGCGGCACGCGGGACCCAAGTTGGGGCAGAGCAACAAGAAATGCAAACACAAAAAATGGTCCAGGCCCCTGCGTCATTTAACGTGGCCCCAAAAATTGTGCATTGCATCCATCGACAGACGGCTGTCGGTGGAATTGCTATTGCGATTGCGATTGCAATTGCACTCGCTGCTCTTTTCATAATTGTCGTTTTGTTTCTCGTCCCTGTCGCTCTCCCGGCGCTTGTAATTGCGGCTTTGTTACGTACCGTAAATTGATTCATTGTACGCCGTGCTTTGAGCACGGACTGACCCATTCTCAGTACCCAGTACCCCGTACCGCCCGATTCCCGTCGAATCCCCCCACTCCCCAATGTTTGTCTGATATAATTGCTTTCAAATGATTTTGTGTCGTTGTGTGCGCACTTTCATATTGCCCGTAGTTTTGTTTGTTTGCCCGTAACGCAAACGCAACTGTCATTGTCCCTAGTCCGTAGTCCGCAGCCCGCTGTCCGCTGTCCGTTGTCCGTTGCCCGTGCTCCGTATGTTGTACGGCTGTTTGTGCCGCCTGTCCGGCCAATAAGCTTCCATTTTGTATGCATAATGAGGCCTGCGGCAATTTGACTCTAGGACAGCCATTAGCTTAAAGTGCCAGCTTTGTTGGTTAGCATCTCTCCCAGGCGAATTTGTTTTACGGCCAAAACACTCACTCTAAAACAATTTTCTCAACAGAGCGCTGCATTTTTGTTTGTTTGAAAATTAACCTATTTCCTACTGCCTTAAATAGCACAAAAGATGAAAAACCCGAATCACATGCCTTTCGTTCGCTGCTTTCAGGCTAAAGGGAAAATCATTTTTATAATTCTTGTTTGTTGAAAAACAGTTGTTATTATCAATTATAAATTATGAGTTAAAATAATAACGTGATGATTTAAAAAAATGTACTAACTTTTTAATCCAAATAATTCTTATACAATTTATCTGATAAAAGATTAATTTTAAAATAACTATAATGACTAAGTATTTAATTCTATTGCCAATTAGCATTGTTTAAGACAACCGTTTATCATTGTTTGTATAAAAAATCATCAGTTATCTGATTGCTGCCATTAAAGTGTTTTTAACATGTTAACAAATCGCAAAATATTGGCTGCCGAAGGGAATTAAATGTT